GGAGTGGCGGGGCGGGAACTCACCTATTACCGTAAGAACGCGAGCGTTACGCCACCGCCACGCACCGCTGGGGAGGTAGGGGTCAACATGTCACAATATTAATGATTTGTCCAAAATTGTAGATGGTAATGCTATACCTATTTTGTTTGCTGATGATACAAGCATATTAGTCAAAGGTTCTGACTTACAGGGCTTTCGAAATAAGATGTCTAACACCCTCACTTGCGTAAATAAATGGTTCAAGACAAATTTACTTTCAGTAAATGTTAACAAAACTCATTGTATTCATTTTAAAACTAAAAAATAAATCCTCAATTGATGTAAATATCGTTTATAACAATCAACCAATAACAACTGTGCCAAATATGAAGACCCTTGGCAAAAATATAAATGATTCATTGAACTGGAGAGGTCATATTGAATGTATTATCCCAAAACTGAGTTTGGCATCTTATATTATGAGGAGTATCAAGTAATATATGTCTTTCAATGTTATGAAAATGATTTATTATTCATATTTTAATTCGATCATAAGCTATGGCTTAATGTTCTGGGGAAATTCGCCCCACAGTTTTAAAATATTTAGAATGCAAAAAAGAATAATAAGAATTATGATGGGCTGTAGGAGCAGGGCTTCGTGTAGGAATTTGTTTAGGAAGTTGGAAATTTTGCCTCTTGCATCACAATATATTTTTTCACTCATGTTTTTTGTGGTCAGTAACAAGGATCTCTTTATTTTAAATTCAGAAAAGCATAATACAGGTACAAGACAATCAAATAATTTGTATCTGCCTACAGTAAATTTTACAGTTTACCAAAAGGGAGTGTACTGTATGGGTATTACGGTATTTAACAAACTTCCTCCACATATTAAAGATATATCTCATAATCCAAGGAAATTTGAAGCCTGTCTAAAACATTTTCTTTATACACATTATTTTTATTCCACTGATGAATATCTTCAATTTAAGGCTATTGCAAGTCAATGACATACCAAAGAGTTTATATACACGTGTAGTTTAATATGTTTATGTTCATTGTCACCAAGTTTTAAAACTATTAATAATACAACTTTTTATATTTCTGTCATCATTTTATTTTATTCTAATTTTTTTTGGCTTGTTTGTCTTTTATATATGTACCACTTGACGTGTTCCATATCCTACCTGTTGTACTGTGGATCTATGGAATGTAAAATAAATGAATGGCCTCAATTCCGGCCGTGACTGCGTTGATACGTAGCTTAAGTATGTACGTATGTATTTTTGTATATTGTGGCATATTTGCTCAAGGAAAAACTGCGAAGCCAGGAGAGACAGCCGTTACTAGGCAACAGCTCTGCAAACACGCCCGCTGCTAGGCACAGGCTCGTAACACGCAACAGTGGAATAATTGGGAAACGGTGTTCTCTACGCAGTCCATGCAATAGCTACGTAAAACAATAACAGAAGAACTGTTGGGGGGGGGGTCGAATACCTCCACCGTGACCCTGCGAGTTGTAGGAGGCGACGAAAAAGGAAGTCTCACATCTGAGACAGTAAAATATGGTCGCGAGTCCCAAGGGAATCGGACTCGAGAAAGACTGCGCTGGCAAGGACCAGCAGCATTCGTC